AAACTTATCAAGAAGGCTGGCACTGTGTTGGGGATGAGCCTTGACCCCATGGAGGTGGTGGCTGAGAGGAGAATGCTGACCAAGCTCACAGCCATCATGAACAACACCTCTCATCCGCTTCATGGGACTGTTACTGGGCAGCGGAGCACTTTTAGCAACAGACTGCTCGAGCTACGGTGTTCAAGGGAACGTTTCCGCAAGTCTTTCCTCCTGGCGGCTGTCAGGGTGTATAACGCTGCCCTGGGCTAGGACTGTTAGCCCTTCATTTGCTCGTCTATGGACAGCATGTTTGCTCCATTGTACTTTTTGGACAATCAGGCTGTATAAACCTATGCACATTTTGCACATATTTTATTGTTTTTATAGTGACTATGATCATCACATTTTGCACACACCTATGCATTTATTTATTTTTTTTTGTTGTCTTCTATTTTATAACTATTCTGATGTCTGTTTTTGCTTGTCTTGGGCTGGACTGCTGTAACACATCAATTTCCCTACGGGATTAATAAAGTATTATCTATCTGTCTACTAACAGTGTGGCCCTGGTTCCAACAGATTTAAGATGGTCATATCTTGGGTACTGAATACTACATTTTGTCTTGGAAGATCCACATCTTTTGGCTGGAATTGTGAATATCTTAATATGTATCAGCATTCTTATCTCTAAAAAAACATGTGGAAAAATGTATCTAATTTAGTCATGATGGAGCCTGCTAACGGCTTTTACATGCTGAACTGTAACCATCACACCTGCTTGATCACAGAGGCTCTGTAACCATCACGCCTGCTTGATCACAGAGGCTTTCTCCCCCTGTACTTACCCCCAAATGGTGAATGTTTACCCAAATGGTAAATGTTTACACTAAACTCCTGATGACAAAGGAAGGTTTCTATTTCCTTCGGTTACATCAGAGACAGGAGGGGGGGGGGGGAAACGTGTATATATAAGTTCTGTAGGACCATATCCACTTTGAGCTACGATAGGTACTATAACTATTATGGTGCTTATTGTGGTTCCTTGTATGCATACAATAAAGCTTGGCTGGATGAACGAACACTTCAGGCTCGAATTTCTTGGTTTCTACAGTCAGAATAGAAAGCATCTGTACCTTAGCATCATTAATGGTCTTTGTTATAAAGCACATTCACAACTGATGGACATTATTTAAAGAACACACATCCAGAATGCAGTAGATGAGATATATCTCATCCTGTGAAAAAAGGAATGAAATGTTTGTTATGTAAAATACAAAGAAGTTGTAAACGGGTTTTGTCATGACCAGATGATGCCTTTATTATATTATTATTTTACATTATTGTGAACTTTACATTCTGCTTAATGTTTTAAGTATACAGCAAATAAAACTATTGCCCGCATTGTGATCCAAAGATAAAATTCAAATTCTGCAGTCATGAACATTTTTAATCATCTCATGTAAAACTGAAGTATGAAGTAAATTGTAATTACATGTAAATCCAGCATTCTGTATTTTAATATGCATAAAATATTCCTTATCTGTATCAGGTTATATGTGATGTTTTGATTCATGGTTTGATTGTGATTATCTAGAATTTAGGTTTAATATAGTTCTTAAATTTCTAAATTTAAATATTTCTGAACTATTTTTATAATATTGCATTTTACTATATTTCTGGACATCATAACCTTTGGGTAAAATGTAATCTATTAAATATGAATTACTGTAACTTTTGATTTACATTATGGATTATTAAAATGTAAGTAACGGAATGCTCATTCATCTTTTACCACAGTCTTACAAATCACAGACATTAAACACAAATGGAAAACATTAAAAATACAAAGTGTGTCAAAATAATTTACATACTTTTCATTAGAACGTACTGTAAGTACTGTATGGGTAGCTTGAACTTAACCAACATAATTTTTACTGTACATTACATTTCATACAGACTACAAAAAAACTCTCATGTAGCTGTTGAAATCATTCTTAAAAGGGCAATATTCTGTTTAATAACATCACTACTAAAAACTGTATTTCCATCTGTTACAATATTGTCTTTTTTCTATTTTGAAAAAAAGAAAATTAAAAATCACTACTGCCAAGTGACATGCCTCTGTCAGAAAAAAATAGATTTTCATTTTGCCTAGGTTAAATAAAAAAATATACCTATATTATGCAATCACAGTCTTTTGTGTAATCAATTTTAAAGCATTGAAGATATAAATTTGCTTTAGCACTTCATTTTTCAGTTTCTATACTTTTCATGGATACTCAGTTTGAAATTAATGCTGTGTTTCTGAAAATACACAACACTAAGGAAATCTAAACTGCTGTAAATCTGTTAGAAAATTAACATACAGCTTAATTTACCAGTACAAAATTATATTTTTCATCTTGTGATTCCTTTTTCATTTAATTTTAGTGCACATTAATGTAAAATATTAAATGAATATCATTTTAACAGTAACAGATTAATTAATGTACGATAGAAATAACCCAAATTATATTCTCACTAACCCAAAAAGTCATCAAACCACTTGTTGTCTGCTATTTTGTTGGCTGATGTTGCAGTGATATTTGAGTCTAAGCTGACTGGATCTAGAAAAATATCACTAGAAGCAGTAGCTGGTGGTTTAGGCAGTAAAGACTCAAACCCAACTATGTCATCAGGAAAAATGTTTCCTTGAGTAGTTGGAACTGAACCACTGGAAACAGTTGTTTGCCCCAAACCAAATAAATCATCTAAATTGCCTGAATTTTGTTGAAGAGATGAAACTGTGGAGGAATCTACTGCAGCTGAAAAATCACCAGTCCCAAAGACATCTAGAAAGGTAGATGGAATTGGGGCTGAAAAAGCATCTAATTTAGAAAAGTCATTATCAAACACATTGGTGGTCTGTGCTTGAGGAATGCTTTCAGTGTCAAGGTTATCTTCATTTATTTTTTCATTAACTATTACCTGAGATGACAGGTTCAAATTAAGTAGATCACTGATTTCATCTGATTGTTGTGTTTCCACACTGGAGACCATTACATTCACCATTTCACCTTCAGACACCAGAAGAGGGTCTGGGCTAGAAATTGTAGGTTCACTGATCCCTAATATATCAAGTTGATCTTTGTCAGGGTTCATAGGATCATTCAGGTTCACTGAATCAAAGGGATTTTTTGAAGCTACAGTTTGATTGCAGGATGCAATGCAATTTTCAGAATCAAATAGTATATTCTCAGATTTATTAATAGCAATTTCTTCTTGTGACTCAGGTGGACAAAATGGATTAATAATCTCTGTCGGAATGTCCTCTACCAGATTTGTGATTCTTTGTTGTGAGATTTGTATATGATTTGTTAACTTATTGGTAGAACCATTTACAGTATTCTTTTGTGTCAAACATGGTTCTGGTGAACTAAAAGGATTGATACTGTCTGTGGACAAATCTTGTGACATTTCATCTGTTTGCTTGAGATTGCTTTCACTAAAGGATGAAAGGGTAGATTCATTTTTGTCTGAGCATATTAATGTTCTCTCAGTGTCGTTCATAGTTATTGGGATTAGATATAATGAGTCTTGAGGTGATCCGTATGGATTTATAATTTCTGTTATATGTGGATCACCTTTGGGGGTTTCCATTAATTCTTTATTGGTGCTGTTAATCTTGTTTGTTTCATTCAATTGTTTGGAATTAAGAATGTTTTCTTCATCACCCTCCTCTTTGCCACTGGTTGTCAGGACATTTTCATCCTTTTGTTCTTGAGGAATTTTGTCCCCGTCCTCTCCTGAGTCTTTTTCAAGAGTATCAGATTTACTTTCTTTTTCTTTCTTTAACTCTTTTCCCTTTTCTGATGTGGACTGCAAGAGTCTGCCTAGTATGGACCTAGGCTTTGCATCTGGTTTCTTGATCTCCTTCTTGTCTGTATTGTCTTTGCTACCTGAAGAGAAAAGCATGGACAGAGGACTTTTTCCCTGACCTGATACTTTGGACCATGAGTCTTTTCGAGTATGTGTCTTCCCATTCTGTTTATTCACATAGCCCTGGGAGTTTGGCTTTTCGGCTTTCTTTGGCTGATTTTCTGCAATCTCTACTTTTTTGTCTTGATTCAAACATTGATTTAATGTTTCATCCACTTTCTCCTCTGCATTTTTCACAATAACCTCTTTTATATTCAGCTTGGTATCCTCAGATGATATTTTTGATTCTGAATCTAGTCTTTCTGTGTTACTTAGAGATGAGTATTTTTCTGCGGGCTCCTGGCTATTTGCTTTATTTTGTGTCTCAACGTTTACCAGACTATTTTCTTTGTATAAAGATTTTTCATTCACTTGAACACTGCAGGTTTCAAAGTCACCTTCATCAGTGTTGCTCAGTTTCTGGTTGGTATGGTTTTCAATGGTACATTCTGCTCTAGTATTAGAAGTAAGGTCAGATTGTGAGTATAGTTTAATAGCAGAAGAAATGTCATCCTTTGCATTGGTAGCTATATTTTCTTCTTGGGGTGTTTTATTAATATAATGTAATTCATTCTCATTTTTCAAAACACTTTCTGCCACTTCTGCTGACAATTCTTTCTTTGTGTCAGGAGAAGAAGCCCTGGGATGACTCCTGCTGTGTTCCTTTTTCATTCCAGGCTCAGAGAAGAGCTGAACTTCCCCCTTTGGCACAGATTCCAGCTCCTTACTGACATTTAGAGAAATTTGGCCAATAGCTAGGTTGTTTTTGCTGGCATTAGCTTTACTGTTATCATCTGCTAAATTACCCTCTGCATTATAAGTCATCTTTGTCACTTTACTAGGACTGTGTGTGAAATTATCATATTGATCTGTGTTTTCTGGAATTCTGGGTTGCTCATTAAAGACAGATTGATGTGAGCCTTTTGAGGCTGGTGTAAATGAATCCTGAAGCTCAGAAGATGGTTTTGTAATCAATGAGCTTTTTGGAGACACTTCTGTGACTTTATAAGCGGAAGAAAGATGCTTAACCTTTGCCTTTGTGTTCTCTTGGAACAAAGTGATTTTTGTGGACACTTTCCATGGATGTGATTCTTTAGACTGAGTTTTATCTGTTGTTTCTAGCGGTGCCTTTAGTTTACCATTAACAACATTGTTCTCTTTGTCTTGTTTCATGCACAAGGTGGAACTGGAACCAACACAACCCTTTTCCTTGTAGGTGTCTTTTTCAATGGAAGATAGGAAAACCCTACTGTTTACTTCGGGATTTTGGGATAATGGAATATATCTGTCTTTACCCTGTAAGCTATGTCTTACTACAGATTTACTTTGGTTTAACTCAGTTGTTGGTTTCTCAGTAATTGGCTCTTTGAATGTCATTTTCTCTATCTGTGCGAAATGTGTTGTTCCAAGGTTCTGTTTTGGAGGAGGCCAGCTAACTCTCAGCTTGTTTATGGGTTCTGAACTACTTTTGTTTTTTTCTTCCTGGTTACGGCTTGGTAATAATGGGTTTCTTGACCCAATAGTGAGTGGTTCTAAACTTCCATGGGATGTAAGTGACTCCTGTTTGGCCTTGTGAATAATTTTCTCATCATCTTTCTGATCTTTGGAACTCTTCTGAAGCCACTGATCTTTGTGCTGCCTCCGGCCAAACCCCTCATCATAGTTTCCCTTCTCTCTGAAAAGCTGTTGGTAGTGAAACATGCAGTAGAACTCGCCACAGAGAGCAGCATAATTCTGCAAGCTAGAGAAAAATAAAGAGAAATACATACTTTGGCTTAATTTGTATTTGAATTATAGTTATGAGATATCACAGTTGAATGGTTTGTTTTTCAGCTTATTTAAATGAAAACCTATTTGTGTTTTTAATCAGAAGTTTTATCATTGCGATACCAGGTATTTCCCTTTATGTAAATCACTGAATACAAAGAATCTCTCAAAATAGAATATGTAATATTACCAGCAGATGGCACCAGAATATAAACTACTTTCTGAGAGATTATTCTAAACATTCAATGTGCATTACCTGCTCAAAGCATTCACAGAGCAGCTGTTAGGAATTGTTATGAAAAATGCTTAATAAGTCTCACCTCAGCTTCTTATGACAGTGTTTACAACAGAAGCAGTTGTTGTGAAGGACAGATTTTTCAGCAACCATTCTCTCCATTGGATACACTGGTTTCAGACAAGATGAGCACATTTCCTTGATGGGTGACTGAAACTATGACAACAATTTCATTGTTACTATAAGTACTACTATTCACAAACACAATGAGTATAAAAAAGAATTTTAGTTATAATCCTGAGACGCTTTACTTTTTATATCACAACCCATAAGGCATTAGGCTACAAAAGATGTGGTCTATTTGCTGTACATCAAAATTAGGTCATAGTCAGACATAATTTCATAATTTGTAAATAGAATTCTAACAATAAAGTTCAAAAGCAACTCACAAGTGTTCACAACTTGTATCAATAAAACATTTACATTGGATTAAGTTTACTGCTTGATTTTGAGAAAAGTAAAAACAAAACCCCAGTGGTACAAAATCAAAATGAAAAGTTTAACCATCTTTTGCACCTTAACCAAGAATCCTGAAAAAATGTGGCTATTAATTGTTTTAGTATGTTTTTTTTGGGTAAGTGTTTACTTAGTTCTGCTTAAAAGTTTAATGGATACGGTCAGTGTGTCTTAAATACTTAACTAGAGCTCACTATATGAATGAGAATTCGATAAACTCTCAACTCCAGTAAAATTCTTACTGAGACACAGCAATATCAACCACTTAGTGAAAAAAAAAAAACATTTTTTTACTTTTTTTATTTCCATATTTAAACTGTTCACAGTAAGACACTTGACACTGATACTGGGGCACATAACTGTATATACCCACTACATACAGTATGTCTATAGATACCGTATATCCACGATGTACTGTACGCTTTCTTTAGGATAGATTAATATGTATATATGCTTACTAATTATATATATATATGCTCTGCAGAATGTTTCATGTTTTGACTCAGAATATTTATTTATTTTATTTTTATTATGTATGTTTTCAGAAAATTAGTCAAGATAAATAACAAATGATCTTTTTTGCCACTGCTATAGTATAAAACAATCCAAGCAATGAATACTGGAAAAAAAAAACAAAGCAGGACAGTATACAATTTTATATAAATAAAATAGTAGTAAAGATTGGTATAATAAAAAAAATAATTAAGAAGGAAAAATGACAGAAAACTCAAACATTTACAAAACATGAATAACTAAATAGGCAGTAAAAGAAACAATTTATTAAGGATAACATTAATATTAAAGGAATCATCTAGGAGTCTATACAGCTATATGCCTACATATTTAATGTTTTCCTCCTGTTTTTGGATGACCAAATGTGACAAAAACTGTACCACCTTCTTTGACTTTACAATTTGTCTGAGGACCTTCTGAAAAATGGTGAGCTGACCTTCTGACCTGTGGTGAGGTCATAACTTCATATTTAGTTGGACTGGCAACTACCTCATACGTCGATGAGGTTTTTGTTTCGGATTGTTTTGTGACAATAGTCGATGTCTTTGAAGTTACAAACTTGTTTCCAAAGCAATCAGTCTCTTCATATTTTTCCATAACCGTTTTTGTACCGACTATTCCAGCAGCTTCAGGAACTGTTTTGACCTCAAGCACGCTTTTCTGTCTTCTTGGGCTGAGAGGACTGTAAACATTGCTGAGTGCTTCTTGCTGTGATAAATCAGGGCATTTGTCTGGGTCACCATTCGTGCCATGGGTGTTTTTAGGTTCACATTCAGGCTTGGAGTTAATGCAATCGCTCTGTACCTTCTCAGCTGTAACTTGCTTTTCAGAAGGTATTGACATGGACTCCTCTGACTTAAGAGGCTCAGTAGGTTTTCTTGCAGCAGACTGAATTGAGATGTATGATGGAGATGAAGGGGAATTAGGTTTGATAACTGGAACCTCCAGTCCTGTTTTTTCCACTTTATCTGTCTTTTCTGACAGCAGTATGTTTTCATTTGTGTTGTTTCCAAAGGTCTCTTTTGAATGCTCTAATTTGGCTTTGCTGGAGACAATGCTAATTTTTCTTATGTTGTTGGGAGTGACAGAGTTTTGTTCAGTACCTAAAGATTCTTTAAACAACCCAGACAGCCCAGCAATGTCAGATTCTGATTTTAAATTGGAGACTGAATACAATGCCTTCTTTATTGCTTCTTCGATATCCATCAGTCTAGCCAGTGTCTGCTCTTTCAAATTAATTATTTCTACACTTGCTCTTTCTAGATCTCCAAACACAACCTCCACAGAGGACATACTTTCAGTATCATCTTTCAGTGTTTCAGTCTTTTCAACTTTCTGTTCCCCTTTAGGTTTATTATTCTTCAGACTTTTACCAGGACCAACAACCCACTCAGGAACATTCTCAAATAAATTTTTCAGGTGTCTTACATCCACTTTACATGTCTCTCCTTCGATTTCTTCAACTTTGGAAAGAATTATTTTCAGCTCCTCTCGTTTCCTCAGATTTTCAAAAATTTCCATTGCTGCTTTTACATTGCCTCTCATTATTTCATCTTTGTGGACTGACAGTCTTTGCCTCCTTTCATCTTCTGTCTCTCTCCTGCCTTTCTTCTCTCTAAGAACAACTTTGCTCTCTGGTTGCTCCTGCTGCTCTTCAAGTCTGTGACTAAAAGTGACTTCTACTGATGGTCTATGATGTTCAGTTTGAGAATTCTGTTGTTGTCCATGCCTGTAAGTGCCATTTTGTTCAGAAACAGTAGTTCTTTGCCTCAAACAGGTATTAGTCTCAGATTTGGAAATTTCTTTTTTTTCTTCATTTTGAATTACTTTGGCCTTCTTTGGCAGTGGTGGAGCAGTCACAACCACACCCTTTTTTGTTATCACAGATGAACTTAATTGACCTGAAGATTTCTTCTTATCATCAAAGTTCTGAAGAGCTGTTTGAAAATTTTTAATTTCACTGTTCTCTGAATAGTACTGCATATATCCTCGAATCTCTTCTACAGCATTGATGCTTTGTGGAACACTCTTGTTTTTTTCTATCACTTCACAAGTTGGGATTTTAGTTTTGGCTGCTGACTGTAATTCTTCAACTGTCTCTTTCGTCAGAATTTTTTTCTTTTCTTTATTTAGATCCACAAATTGAAGTGTTTTATCAATTTCTGTCAAATTTTCCTTTTTGGTATCAAAATACGCAGCATGAAATCCAGTGTTTTCACAGTCCATGTCTTGTTTTCTTGATAATGTTAATACTTTAGCAGGAAGATAATTTTTTGAAGGTTTGTCTGTAGATTTTGTGATAAATACATCTTGACTGTTTGACAAAGGCTCTGGAGTCATAGGTACTGGTGACGGTTTTGCTGGTAGCTGTTGTTTGACTTTAATCGGAATAACTGGAGTATGCTGTTTTTCTCTGAGATGCTGAGGTTTTGGTGGAGGAACAGGTCTACTTGCTGGTGCACCACAGGGGCCTTTATTCAGATGTTCTGGTTTTGGTGGAAGGGCTGGTTTCTGGGTTGTCAGCTTTTCACAAGTCTTGAGAGGAAGAGGCGGGGGGATCTCAGAATTGCTTATCAAATTAGAAGAATTAAATGGTTTATTTGCAGTTTCATCCTTGTTGGAGCTTGTTATTGTTGCTTTGCTCACTGTTGCGGGTGGCTGCTGTTCTCCATCAGTCACTGAAACTGGAGGAGATAATTCAGCATCAGATGGAGGTACAGAGATGAAAACAGACTGGTTGCAAACAGATGTGGTATCTTTTTTCTTTCTGCATTCTGAGTAAGACTGCCCTGCATTTCTGTATATCATAGCAGCTTTAAAGTCCCCTTTAGATACATTAATGTTAGACTTCTCCAGAGACTGAAGAGCTGCTTGCAAATTACCTCTTACAATGTCTTCCTTTTCTACTGGTTTCTGTTCTGTTGCAGCACTTCGCAGAGATTTAATAGCAGCCTTTACATCTCCTCTTACAACAGCTTCTGTTTCTGTCTTTTCCTGTGAACTTTGTGCATCATAATCTGAACTGAAAAAAGGATTTACTACAGAGAGTACTGGCTGTGGACCTTCTTTATTAATGTTAATATCTGTACTCTGTGTAACTTTGCTTTCCTGGCAAGCTTCAAAGTTTTGACTGGTTCCCTGCATCTCCACGGAGTCACTGACCTTTAGGTATGCAGATGTGACTTTCTCCTCACTTCTTGTAGAGGTTGCTGATTCCTTCCTTGAACAACAAGTAGTTTCCTTCATTTGCACAGCTGTTTTCTGTAATTGTTCTGATGTCTGCATGGTCCTGGCGTGTTGGACACTGGCTGTTTTCTGCTTTTCGTGCTGGATGTTTCCTTGAGTAACTGTTACCTGCTTCCCCTGGACAACATGTTGAAGGGTCTTTGCTTCAGCTGTAGCCTGCCTGAGGCTTTGCATAGCTGCTTGAAGATCTGAACTTTGTGTGTCTTCCATAACTACATGTCTTTCCACTTGATAGGTCTGTTTTGATTCCTGTTTTTGAGAACTGACATCTTCAGTTATCCTAGGTTTTGCTTCACTGACATCAGCTGATGTCTCTTGTAACTCAACATTTAAGTCATAAATCTTTCCTGGAACAACGGTTTCCCTTTCCAACCGCATGCTCTGATTCTTTGCTCGTTCCAGAGCTTGCAATGTTGCCTTAATGTCCCCCGACACTATCTCCTCTTTTTCCACAACAGTTGGATGATTACTTGCCTCTCCAAGAGACTGTTTAGCAGAGGAAACATCTCCACATATGATTTCTTCTTTCTGAACATTCCCTATTTCTGTACCTCTTTCAGAGGAGAATACTTTTTTAACGTTCTTCACATCTCCAGGTACAATGTCAACAACTGTTCGCTCAACTTGCTCATTTTGTTGATTGAGATGTTTTTTTGCACCTTTTACGTCTCCTTGTAAAATTTCAGTCTGTTCCCCAGAGCAAGAATCGGGCTCATCTTCAGATGCATCTGTTTGAAGACTTTTTAAGTATTTAAGGTCTCCCTTCTCAATGCAGCTCCTGTATAAATTGACATTTCCTTTTTCATTTTCTTCCAATTTGAATGTGGCCAAGGATTTAGTTTCTTGAGCAGAAGCTAAAAGGCTGCCAATAGTGGACTTCACATCTCCTTTGATGATCTCCTGACTCAATGCCCCATTTTTATGGTTACTGTGAAGAGAATAAACTGTCATTTCAGCATGCCCCCTTTCAGTTTCTTGAATTAAGATTCCTTTTTTCAGAGACTTGTCCTGGTTGAGAAGACTTTCAACAGCCTGAGCTACATCATCCTTCCCAAATTGTGCATCCAAAGTAATATTGGACAGCGGCTGGTTAACAGATAGTTCCAGTTTAGTGATTTGAACATTACCCTGTTCATCTTCTTTTAGGAGAACACCCTGGGGTTCAATATTTGTCTTCTGCAAGAGCTGCAGCATTATTCCCCTTATGTTCCCTTCAACAACTTCTTCCTTCTGAATTTCCGGACCTTCTTTATTTGTTAGCTGGTATTTTGCCATTTTTACACTTCTGGCTTCGTTGGCTTCAATAACAATTCCTTGGGAACGAACGGCATTAAAATAATAGAGACGGTGTAAAGTCTCCTTCACACTCTGCACCACTGTTTCCGTTTCCACTGTGTTTTGGAAACTGAGTCTATCGAGTGGTGTTGACTCAAACAGCCAGGTGGTGCTCTTCACATCTGTCAGTGGCACTTCCTCTTGAACCTTTATGTTAGCCTTTGGTTCAGAATCCTTGAGAGAGTCCAAGGGCTGTGTTTCAAATAGCCAAGTGCATCTCTTCACATCTCCTTTGTGATTGTCTTCTCTATGCACAGTTGGGACAGAGGCCTTTTCCTGCAGTTCCCCCTTCAAGGAGTCAATAGGCTGATTCTCGAAAAGCCAGGTGGAAGTCCTGACATCCCCGTGTTGAGCATCTGTAACACTTACCATCCTTACATACTTCTTCTGAGTCACCTCCTGAGATTCAAAGAGCTCTTTGTTGAACTTTACATCACCTTTTTGAACATCATCCACATTTCTTGTCCACATCTTATCTTGACTTGTAAGAGAACTGAGTGGCTGTGTTTCAAAACGCCATCGCGCTGTTTTCACATCACCCTTGAGAACATCCTCCTGGGTGACAGCACGAATCACAAAGATCTCATCCTGTGGCTTTATAGTGTCCAGGGGCTTTGTTTCAAACATCCATCTAGCACCTCTCACATCTCCACTTATGATTTCTTCTTTCTTGACAGTGGTGACTTCATGAAACTGCCCATCTTTGTCTGTGATGGCATACAAAGGTTGTGTTTCAAACAGCATTGTGCAAGACTTCACATCTCCTTTATTCAGGGGTTCTTTTACAGAAACAGATGTATGGTCCAACGTCTGATCTTCATCATGAATCTGGTCCAAAGAGAATGTTTCAAAAATAAACCTTTTGTTGCCAACATTCCCACCTTCAACTTCGCTTATGGAGCACGGTTTTATATTTTTCTCTTCCTCTTTGGGTTCTTGAATAGCATCAATTGGACAATTTTCAAAAAGCCAGGTGAACTTGCGAACAGATCCTCTCTGAATATTTTCATTATCATCTAGCGCCTCTGAGATCTTTACAGATGCTGTTCCTATTTCATCAAGTGACTTTGTCTCAAAGATTTCTTTAACTCGAGAAACATCCCCTGACTGGACATCAACTTGACTAACATATTTGACTTCTTTCTCTCCATCTGTTCCTCCGGTGCTGTCTAAATCTTCTGTTTCAAACAAATGCCGTTCTGTTTTCATATCAGCAGCCTTCAGTCCATCCTGAGATGTGTTGCATAATTTCAGATGCCGTTCACTTAAATCATTTAAAGTATCCAGGGGTTGTGTCTCAAATAGCCAAGTGTAAGATTTCACATCAGTCTTTGGTAATGTTTCTTCTTCTTGTTTTTTCTCAGATTTCTCATACAGAATATCCATAGGTTGTGTTTCAAACAGCCACCTGCATGTCTTTACATCCCCACTTTGTAAAGTCTCCCTTTGATTTGATAGAGGCTTCTCTGTCTGATTGACTTGTGAATGGATGCGATCTTGTGATTGTGTTTCAAAAAGCCATTTTGTTGTCTTGACATCACCTGTCTGATCTTCTTGCTTGGTAATGCCTCTGATGATCTCAACCTTTTCTTCCTCAAACTGGTCTAGAGGTCTGGTTTCAAACATCCATTTGTATTTTTGCACATTTCCATGGACAATCTGCTCTCTGCTTACCGTTGTCACCTCATAGTAATTTCCTGAGCAATCTTTAATTGCATACAAGGGCGTAGTCTGAAATAATTCCCTGCTACTTTTTACATTTCCAACTACAACTTTATGGCACTTTTCAACTGACTCATCCTCAGATTGAGAAATGTTGCCCAGAGGAATTGTTTCAAAAAGGTGCTTGTAGGATTTAACATCACCTTTTTCTATCTCATAATTATCACCTTTCCTTTCTCCTTCAGTTAATTCCTTGTTAATGGTATCTAGAGTGCATGTTTCAAACACATGTTTTCTGTTCTGCACTGTTCCCCTTTCTTCATCAGTGACTGTGATTTTCTGTAAGCGACCAACTTCATAGTTGTCCTTCAAGTTTTCCATGGGCTGTGTTTCAAACAGCCACAAGGTGGATCTCACAGCACCACCAACTATCTCTTCCCTGCAGCGACTTTCATCTGAGAATTCTCCTTTCAGTGAAGCCAGGGGCTGTGTTTCAAATGGGTGCCACTTGTTTCCAACATCAGCTCCTTCCACCTGTTCAGTGGTAGCTTGGAACATAGGTTCTTGAATACTTTCATGTATAGTATCTAAAGGCTGAGTCTCAAACATCCATCTCATTCTTTCGACTCCACCCTTTTGATCTTCTTCCAAGGAGATACCCCGAATTATCTGAACCCCAGATTCCTTCCGGTTTATGACATCGAAAGGCTGGGTCTCAAATAGCCAGCGTGCGCTTCTGACACTGCTGCTTTGAATTTCTTCTCTGCATATGGATGTGACTTCATGGATGTTACCCGTGCTATCTCTGATAGCGCAGCACGGCTCCGTCTCAAAGAGTTTCACAGTTGTTTGAACATCTCCTTTTTGCTCATGAATTTCCGATTTCAGTTTCAGGAAGCTGTGATCTTCCACAGAGTTGCAACGACCCAGTGCATCTAACGGGTAGGATTCGAACAGTAGTTTGGCTCCTTTCACATCACCCCTTTGGACTGTTTCTTTTAGCACTGCCTCTACTATGTCTCCTTCCTCTGGGTGTATTTTGTTTAAGGAATCCAACGGCTGTGTCTCAAACAACCAAGCTGCTGCATGTACGTCCCCTCTGACTGGAACGTTTGATCCCACGGAGCTGTATATTTGCGTGCTGTCTGAATCCTGGTGTTCAAACACAGAAGAGGTGCCTTTAACATTCCCACCCATCAAAGCTTCCTCTTCCAGCATCTTTTTAGTAGAGTGAGGATCTCCTATGGAATCCAGTGCCCAGTTCTCAAAAATCCAGCGCATGGACTGGACTTCTCCCTGATATCCAGCTTCCACAGATGCCTGTGTGTCTTCTGAGCTCAGCACTTCTACTAGCTCCTGGTTCACAACATCCTCTAAGTTTTTCCTGAGCTCCGGATGCATGTGCCTAAAGAGCCTTTTCAGTTCGTTTTTCTGCCGCTGCTGGTAGAAAGTGGAAAAGGTTTCTTTCGGTGGAGGCACTGGCACAAATGTGACACTTTGCTCTTCAGCCGCTGGCAATTCTTCCTGCTGAGGTCTGGGTGGTGGAGGGGGAGGCAGATCGTCTTCTACATGAGCCCCATTTGATGGTGCTGAGACCTTTATCTTTTTGGTCTTATCTGCCATCTTTAGAAAAAAAATTAAAAAAGGAAATACATGTGAATTATTTGATCCTTTTTTTCTCAGTGGAAGTTAGTAATACAAAAAGTAATGGAGCCATGAGCATGAAAGGTAAGGCCCATACCTTTTCCGAGTGGTGCAGAAGCCGGAAGAAATGTGCCACTGCAAATCATCTTCACGCATGCCAAAATTCAGCAGGTTAGATGAACTCCAAAACAGTTAGTACTGCAATCCTCTGCTTCCACGCCAGTGTACGTAACAGTTACTCTTTTTTGCAGACAAACACTGTAAGTAAAAGCTTTGCATTGCAAGAGTAACTATGTGGTCTTCCAATGTGTTCTAATACAATCCTATGTGACTGTGCTATTAAATTTTGTAATAGGATTAAATCTTAATCTGTAAAATTAAATTGTTAATTGTTAAATGGGAATTGTTTATTCCAGTATCATGTAGTGAAGCAGAATGGTAATTGGGCAGCTGAGAAATCTCTATATATTTTTTTATAAATGCTTCTTTCTACACATGCATTTTCAAATATAATTTATGTAATACACCCGAAACCTGCACTAATAAGGGTGAACACATAAGGATGACTGTCCATCTGCCCAGAAGAGCTCATTAATATTTATTCCTATAATTTATAGCACTTTTATTATTAACCTTTATGTATTTATTTATACAGTATTCTTGGTAATATTTGTAAATGTTCAATTTTGATATATTAAGAATAATAAAACAAATAAATAATACTTAAAACAATCATGTAGAGAACTTTTCCTGACAGCATTGTGCCTCACAGGGTAATGAAGGATCTTAGAAAACCAAGGCCATCAAATTAATGTAAACACCAAGGAAATTTAACTTTCGTTTTTTGAAGAAAAAATGTTTTAAGTCCCTTCAAATAAAGTCCATAAACTTTGATTTCCCAGTAATTGTACAGCGTTCACTGCTATGGAAATGTTCAGGAATCCAGTATTGGTTTTGTTAGTTTCACAGCATTTACACACTTGTTTCCAGTTAGTCAAAGAAAAGCTTCATCCAAATCTTACCTTACGTGTCTTTGGAGAGTTTCCAGTAATTATAACAGTCTGCTGTGCCAAATTATCCTGTTGATGTAGAAAAGGTTGTTGCAGTTTGTGTATTTTATTTTTTGATCACTGGATAAAACTGTTAGAAAGACTTGATTCTTACAGGACAACTCGTACTAGAATTCAAATTATAACAAGGGTGAGTTTAATCTTTTAGACTGTGGAATATAAAAACCTGTGTGCAAAATGCAATTAATGTAAGATAAAAAGAAAATAGTTAAAATTATATTATGGCTACTAATAAGTTACAAGTGAAAAGTGAAATAGACTGTTAGAATTGATTTAATGTTATTTAATGTTGTTTAAAATGAACAAAAACACATAAAAAATGAATGTCAAAATCAGAATTTTGACTGAAGAGTTAGTAACCAGGCTACAGTTATTTTTAGACAAGTCATTTGGTTTTGTTTCTCAAAAGTGCTTCTTTTCCTGGTTGCCCCATGGACTGAGTATTTGACATTATACTTAACATCATGCTCTTCTAGATTCTTTAATCTCCACAGAAGCCAGCGAACTTGAGAGCACTGCTTATTCTGAACTCCTGCCCACTGAGACATAAGAGCAGAGCAAAAGAATCCCAGGAATGACAAGTACTTACTGGTTTTATGGGGCTGCCTGGAAGGTCCACAGCTGTTACTTTGGGCAGATAGAGTGCGGATCTTTCTTTCACAGAATTCAAGGATTTCTCTCGTGTTTGGGTTTCAGCAGAGGGGGCCTCCTGGTGGTCTAACCGTGGCAACCTCTTTTCTTCTGCAACAGATTTAACAACAAAGACAACAAATACAGTTTATTCTTTATAGTAATAAGAAACACTACTCCCGCTCCTAAGCAGTGAAGGCACTGCAATAAGCAATGTTCACTATGAGCTTTATTGAAATGCAACATCATCATGTCCTTCTCATTCTTCTTTAGAAGGAGCTTAAGATCATTTATGTCCTTCTCACAGGGACCATTTAACCATTTTCCAAAGTGTGCTTCACTCAATTAACAATAAGTGTCCCAACAACAGGAAATAATGGGGTGACTATATAGAGATCAATATATATAAGGGAATGTATACAGGGATTTTCTTATCTGAGCAGAATCAAAGTCATACACTATAGGTCCATCAATCCATTTTCTAATCGTTTCATTCAATTCAGGATGGCAGGCGAGCTGGAGACTATCCTGGCAAGCAAAATGCACCAGGTGGGATACTGTACATCCTGGACAGGAAACTGGAGCACCCAGAGGAAACCCATGCAAACACAAGGAGAACATACAAACTCAAAACAGATAGCACCCCATGTCCAGCTCAAAATGCTAACCACTGCATTACCATGCTTCCCTAGACCATAGATGAACCTACTTGAACTATATCATATATGTTCAGGTGGGTAGCTGCGTCAGCATGCATAGGCTGCAAAGGAACAAGTAATAGGTTTATTCCATGCTAAAAGAAGAAGAAAGAGAACACAACATTTCAGCCGTGGAGCCTTTTTCAGGTGCCTGAAGAAGGCTCCACGGCCGAAACGTTGTGTTCTCTTTCTTCTTTTTTTCAGCATGGAAAAAACCTATTACTTGTTCCTATACCATATATGTTGCTTTTAATATTTGCACTTACACTAAATACATTTCTTATGTTGTACTCTAAAAAGGAATGTATTTAAATGCAAATCCTGAACTTGCATATGGTCTCTCTTTGTAGCCTGTGTGATTAGACCACAGGTTGAAACTCTCATTGCAATAGCAGCCTCATCTCATACTATAAATGCAGATTGAAATTGAAATAACGTTTTAAAGTAAAAATATACAAATGTATATATTAAAGAAATGGACTTAATAGTAAATATCAGAAAATAATGGGCCATTTTCTTAATATTAAGAATAATAAA